GGGAAAAAGGATCTTACAGCGGATGAAAATATAGCTGTTCTTAGACCTGGGGAATCACGGAGAACAGGTTCTCCTCGGCCCAGCCCCTTTCAGACCACATAAGGAAGTACATACTCAAGGAAGCTAGTGAAATCAGACAAAGAAATTCTGGTTGACTCCACCGTTCCTACTCTTCCATTTATCTCTGTTTTTTGAGACTAACCAGTGTGTGCACGTGGGTCTCTGTCCTGTGAGTATCACTATGCCACTCCACACATCACCCTGTGTTTAAGAGGGTCTGTTCTCTCCCCCGACGGAGGCTAAAAACTGAAAGCTTAAATGTTCCATCAAAGGGTGCCGGCTATATAAAAGGTATATTTATATGATGACACTATGTAAGCCCGTTGAAAGGAAATGCATTGCCTTACGAACATAGAGGGAGCTTAAAAATGGTGTAAATGCTTCTCGATGCAAGAGGTGGAAAAAAAAATGTTTCGTAAAAACTTAAGTTGCTGAATAACAAGTATACATGATTGCATTTAAAAAGAGTAAACTGGAAACCACTTTTTTGTCCCCAGTGAGAGGAAAGATTATTTTCTATAAATCTGAAAGGTCCAGGCAGAAAAGTTTGCACCTCACTTGACTTTTCATCTGGGGCGCACGGCAGGAGCTGGGGTGGCAATATAGATGTTGCTCGGAAATGTGTGCCACAGGAGGCTGCTTGGTCGTAGAGTTGCATGGATCTGAATCTTTGAGACCTCCAAGAGGATTCCCTGCACCAGCTCCCTCCTCTTCTCCTCCATCCCCATCTCTGCTCTCGTGCTGCTCTGGCGTCTGCCCCACTCCTCTCAGACCCAGATTCAGCCCTCAAACGTCTGTGTGGTCTTCCTGGGAACTGGACTGGCTGGAGTACTCACGGGGGCAACCTCTCAGCCCTGGCCCCACCTGTTAAAGACTCACAGACAAGGGGGTGTCGTGTGGGGTGTGATTGGGGAGGTGGCTGCTTCTTAGAAACGGGGTTGGCACAATGAGATATCACGTTTAAAAATCTCCAGTGAGAATGGCCTTTATCAAAAAGTTCCCCAACAACAGAATTGCTGGCTGGATCGCGGGAGAGATCGAGCACTCCTACACTGCTGGTGGACTGCAACTAGGTTCAGACTTCTGTGGAAAGCAATATGAGATACCTCAAAGCGATACGATAGATCTACATTTGACCAGCATTCCACTACTGGGCATCTACCAAAGTCAAGAAAGTCACTTTATGAAAAGACCATCTGCACAAAATGTTTATTAATGCAGCACAAGTTCCACAATTGCACGAAAGGCTGTGGAAACAACCAAGTGACCAGTCCAATTCGCATGAGTGGATAATAAAATTGTATCATGTAGTACCATGGAATACTACTCAAGCTTTTAAGAAACAATGGTGATATAGCACCTCTTGTGTATTCCTGGATACAGCTGGAAACCATCCTACTAAGAAGACAGTATCTCAAGAATGGAAAATACCAGCAGCCACACTGTTACTCACCAGCAATGTATTAAGGGATCACACCTAAGGTGAAGTATAGAAAGTAACATTTATCAGGTGACGGGCAGTGGTGAGTGGGGAGGAGAGGGATGGTAATATCAACCACAAGGAGTGAAGATGTGCAGCATTGGGGGATGGTCACACTGAAGCTTACTCGAGGGGCAAGGTTTGCATGGGAACTATATGGAACCTAAACTGTACCCCATAATACATAAAATAAAAATAAATAACATAAATAACAAAAGAGAAAGAAACTGGGGTGGAACAAGAGAATTGACGGGCCTGGCCCGGCCATTAAGCTAGACAGTCTACTATGCTTGGACTAATCAGCTGCTTCCAAAAGGAGGGACGCTGGGGACCTACTCATAGGGCCTGAGGCTAATTTAATACCGAAAGGACATGGACAAGGGTCTGAGAAGATGCTTGCCCTGGCCGCTGGGAGGCCTGTCAGCTTTCACAGGGACAAGCCTGTAAGTCCTTGTCCTCAGCTCAGGCTGGCGTGTACAGGAACTACACAACTGGTTGGTTTGGCTTAAACTCAAGACGATTATTTCTCAACAGTTCTGGAGGCTGAAGTTCAGATCAAGGTGCTAGCAGATCTCTTTGGAGAATCCTCTTCTCGCTGCTAATAGCTGTTTCTTTATATCCTCCCATGGCCAGGGAGACGAGGAGAGAGAGAGAGAGGAGACGAGAGAGAGAGAGGGAGAGAGAGAGAGAGGAGAGAGAGAGAGACGAGGGACGAGAGAGAGAGAGGGGACGAGAGGAGAAGAGACGAGAAGGGAGAGATGAGAGGAGACAGAGAGAGGGAGGTGGAGAAGAGGAGAGACAAGAGATGGAGGAGATGAGTGAAGCGAAGAGAGAGAGAGAGAGAGATTTGGTCTCTCTCTTTTTTAAGGACAACTAATTGATTATGGGGCCCATCTTCGTTGACCTCACCTAAACTAAATTCACCTCCAGAGGCCCCACTTCTAAATACTCCACACTGGAAAGTTTTAGGCTTCACTATTATAAAGTCTGGGGTGGGGAGGGGATACAACATTTAGTGTCTCTAACAATTGCATTTACAGAGGAAAGACTTCAGCAGCAGGTGGTTGTCCCCTGTGTTTGGGGCATGCTTGTAACAGACTTCAGTGTAAATGATGAATACCAGAGTTTCTAGATGAAAGCTTTTGAAGAGGCTAGAGGAGGCAGTTGAAGGAACGAGCTCGGCGTGAAAGGGGAGAGGAGGCCTCCCGTCTACATCATGGAGGCCCAAGCGCAGGCCTATTCCTTGGGCCAACACTATTCATCAACACCTCTTTAAGGTGCACATCGCTGGCTAGCCTTGGGCAAGCGGTAGGAGCCAGAGGCTGGAAGAGTGTTGCGTTGGCAAGAGACAGATCTAGTCCGTTGGATAACTGCAAACTTTTCACCTGTCCTCCAGGTTTGCCCATGCTGTGCTCTGTCTGGGACACCCTGCACTCCCTCGTGTCCCGTTCCCCTGGCTGCTCCTATCCATATGTTAGGTCCGGCAGGTGAGGCTCCCTAAGAAAGGTTTGCTCTGGTTTCCCAAGTCTTGGCTGTGAGCCTCTAGGGCTCCTGAATGAGGAGCTTTCGCCTCTCAAGGCTTGCCACTCCAAGGCTGGGTAATCTTGTTTTCTGTTTGTCTTTCCGTGAGACCGAAGCTTCCTGAGGAAAAACTGTGAAGCAACTTATGCCTGACCATACACTGTGGCTGCTTCCTGCAGGGAGAGGGTCAATGTGGGGAGTGAATGACTGCATAATATTGCTGTGGCAAATGGCTTGGCATCTACCCATGGTGACTGGAAACCTGGTGCTAGGGGTTTGAAAACCAACAGGAAACACCATCGCAATGACAAACACACCAACACCTGCAGAGACTAACCACCAGCTATTTCTTGATCCACAGCCGCCAAAGGAACATGCACCGTTTTACTGGGTTTCTGAGATTTGCAACCTCCAGTGCTGGGGTTCTAGCCAGAGAGGGTAAGGTCGAGCGTTAGATTTGCTCAGGGGTAGTCCTGCTTCACCACTAAGCAGCTGGGCACCCGTACAAAGAACACAACGGTTTCTGTGTCTCAGTTTTCTCACTTGTGAACAGCAGTAAGAGTAGCACGTATTTCCTAGGGTTGCCCTGAGGATTAAATGACGGTGAGTCTTGTGAAGTCTGATGGCATGGGAAAGACTTAAGTGCTTGTAAGTGCTGGTCTTTACTGCAGGTCCTCTCACCCCAGTGACCCTGCTCTGGTCACTCTCTAAGCCTCATTGGCCATATGTAAGATGGGAATGATGATGCTAATGATTAAATGAGAAAGTAAAAACTGATTATAATCAGCTGCTTGTGTCATGGGAGTTTGTGCTTACATTCAGACTCTCAGGCTGGGGATTCTAGGACCCGGCCACCCAAAGCCATCTGCTATGGGCCTGGGGTGCGAGGACCAGGACCATCTTGCTGAGGAATTCAGCCCCCAACGCCCAACCTTGTCCCGAATCCCTTTTCCTCAGA